CTTCCTTCCTTCCTTCCTTCCTTCCTTCCTTCCTTCCTATTTTCAAGCATCACCAGGGCATTGCTCTCTGATATATGTATCTTGGCTATATTTACCTTTCTGTCATGATTTTTGTTGCTTCACGGCAATGATTTTCACTTTTTAGACTTTTGAGAAATGAGGGAATAAAAGAGTAGTGGTGAAGATATGCCTTAGGAAATCATGGCAAGGGATGCTAATCAGTTTAATAAACAGCCAGATTCTGCTTTAATCATTCAAGTATTTTATTTTTAAGCACTTGACCTGAATAGGAAAATTACATTTTCAACTGAATGCAGTGAAATGTTTCCACAGCTTTTCCTGTCTAGCTCCTACTCTTCATAATGATCTCCCCCTTGAATTACATCTAGAGCCCAATCTCTTGAAAGACTTGTTTTTGCAGGACTTTTATTAATTTGGAAGACTTTCTTTGTCATTATTCCAAACAGCATTATATTACCATTGTGCTGGTACTAGAAGATGTTTTATATTGATAAGTATATTGCTTTATTGCTGATACTACCTTACATTGTGTTATATTTTGCTGCTCTGCCTGTATTGCACTTAGATTTAAGGACATGCTAAATAAAAATAATTAGCTTTAAAAACATTCCAACATTTTTCAATCAAACCACTTTCTCTGCATGAATTGCTGTATAATTTTTTTTTTTTGGGTAAATATTTTGTATTGAAGGATATGGAATTTTAAGTTCCTTTTTGTTTTTGCAGAAATGAGGTTCCGTTGCCACTTTCATTTAGCTCATTTATGAATCATTTTTTTCTTTTTAGTTTCAGTTTGTTTGTTTATTATTGGAAGTCTTGTTTTATAACGTAATAATTTAGATTTACAGAATGGCGCAGATTTTATTGTGTATACCACAATGGCCTTGAGCACCTTCAGGTACTAAGTTGTTGTTGTTTTTTTAACCATGATAATGTAATATGAAATCTTTCATTGTACTTTAAATTCCAGAAATGTGTGCAGAAGTTAAAAGGAGAATAAATATTGGAGCCAGCTTGGGTCATCAAGCATTCTGTGAACTGGTTAATGCTTTATAACAGTTTTCTACAACTAGGGTGCCTTCTAGAAGTATATACTTCAGTTCCAGAATTCTCCAGAGAATATACCATTTCTGAGAAGCGTGGAAGTTGGGCTACACATCCAGAAGATGTTGAGGGGAGAGAGGATTGCTTCAAAAGACAGTTAAAGCCATTTTAGTTCCTGTACATGTAAATCAGTTATGATGAGAGAGTTTTGCATATACTCTCTTGGGATATTTTTGAAATGTTCCTATTGAGATTTTAATAATATTCCTGAAGACTGAGAGCTAGGAAGATATAATTTAGCACAATTTATTTGAAAATTATATCTTGCTTCAGAAAAAAAAATCTAATAACAAAATGTTTTTCTAACAGTAATTTGTATCTGAGAATTAACTATAGTTTGTTCCTCCCACCAGCCAATAAGGACACCAGCTTTAGGTATTCTCGAATAGGGGGACATTTCCCTTCAAAGCAGGTGCTACCTCAATCATGGGATGACTGGGATAATACTTTGATCTTTGAAGCACGATTTGAAAGTGGAAATCTCCAAAAGGTGGTCAAAATGTAAGTCGCTGCCCATTTTCCTTTTAATCTGCAAAATATTCTATTTTCTCTGGTATTAAGCTAATTCTTGGCAGATCTTGAATAATGATTTAGAGAGCATGAAATGAGATGCAAATTCGAATCTCTATTTTGCAGGGAAATATTCATTATTAATATATTTGTACTTCATATTTTCTTCAGTGGTAATATAACATACTGCCTAAGTACAGGATTTATGTATATATTACCTCAATTTATACATTGTTCCATTTCCAAAGGCTCTGAGTGGCTTCTAAATTAAGATCAGAAGATTGCAAACAAAAATCATTTACTACAGTTACATTTGTGGTAGCTTGAGATGCTGGTTATCATCTATAAAGCCCTTCATGGCATAGGGCCTGGCTAGCTGAAGGACTGTAATTTCTGTTCATATTGTATGATTGGACAGAAATGGCATGTTTTGTGTCCCATCAATCAAAAGAGTCCTCTGAGATATGATCCACAAAACAGGCCTTCCCTGTTGCAGCAACTGCCCTTTGGGACAGTATCCCCAAAGATCCGTTAGGCCCCTATCCTGACTTCATTCAAATGAGCTCTTAAAACTTGGTTTTTTCCCCAATCTTTGGGGGAGGGTGGAGCGCCCCTTGGGGGAATGTTTTGTGTAAGGGAATATTTATTTTTGCTCCTCCAGGACTCTCAATTTCTTCTTCTTTTTTCTTCTTTTTTCTTCTTTTTTCTGTTTTTTTATTGTTCTAATGCTTTTGTGAGCTGCCCAGGGTTGTTTAAGACGGGTGGCCATACAAATCTTCTAAATAAAGAAAATAATCAATTCAGACAAGATAGACACAGAGATATTCAGACCCTGAGCCATGTAGGGTTTTAAAGGTGACACCGAGCACCTTTTGAATTGCACCTGGAAGTCAACTGGCAGCCAGTGCAGTTCCTGTCGTAGTAGTGTTATAGGGGTGAACTTCAGTACATCCATAATTACATGAGCTGCTGCATGTTGCACTAGCTGAAGCTTCCAAGTGGTCTTTAAGAGCAGCCCTGCACAGAGTGCATTGCAGTAATCCAGCCATGAGGTGACCAGGATATGAATGATTATGAGTAAAACCTCCTGGATGACAATCCCACTCCATCTCCCCTACCTTGAGATCACAGCTGATGCAACACCTGAAAGCCAGATGGTCACATTTCTAAAAAGTGAAATCCCCTCCTCACCCATTTAGTTTTTGGTGATCATCAGGTCTGCTATCTCACTCAAGATCAATTCACAGATGAGGATAGTTTTATTACAGAGAGACTTGACATTTGATAGGATCAGCTGGAGTTTAAGATTTACTGAATTCTCTCAGAAACAGGTTGTTCTCCTCTCCTGCCATGTCTTCTGCCATTACAACTGCTATGCTACACCCTCCTCTTTCCCCCCTTCTTTCTTCTACATTCACTCTCCCAACAGTTCATGGGAATGACAGACACCCCAGTTGTTCCCTCTTTCAACTGCACTGTGCTCATCTAGTAACTGATACAGCACGGTCAGTACACAGCTTATACTTACCAGCTTACACATCAGTTGACTCTTCTACACACCAGCTTACAACCCATTACAGCCCCCTAACTTCCCCCAACTCATAGACATTGTTCTTACTTAAGTAAAAGTAGGGTTCCCCAGGATTATCATTGTAAATTGGAAAACAGTCTACTATTGCCCCTCATAACATCAGCATTTCCCCAGTCTAGTCCACCACAAACAGTTCAGTCAGCAAACCCTCTTCAATTCTGTACTTTCTCCTCCCAACAAACAAATCCACTACCTTAGATTTTGAGTGACCTGTAAAGTCAATTCTAATCCACTTCTCCATTCTTGCTTCCAGTTCTGGAGTACAGGGAACTGCCCACCTAATTCCTTGACTACCGTAACTCCTGTTACTGGATGTCTTCCTGGAGGAAGCCAAGGGGTTGCCAGTGACAATTACACATGCCAGATTCTAAGAAGAGTTGGAAGAGCTTTGGGAGTCAGCTGCTGTGCAGTAAAATGCTGGCAGTGGTGGCAGCAGCAGTTCACAAACTGCCTCGCTAAAGAGTCCAACTGTTTCTCCACTAATAACACCAGCAACCTCCTTTCTTCTCTGACACTGGCAGTGATGAAGGAAACTGCTGCTTCCACTGATTTCTTTATGTCACTCATCCAGTTTACACTGTCTCTGCCACCTTTGTTGACTTTCTTTAGTTTCAAACAAAGGATTGTCCATCTGAATCTTGTTCATCTGTATAACTCTCTCTTCAGACACTCTGTGCTGCATGCCATCATTCTATCCTTCTTGCTTCTAATGTTCTTTTACAACCAGTTTCCCTACCTTGTTCTTTCTTCCTTTTCTCCACCTCCACAGTCTACTCTCCATACTCCACTCCTTTCTGCATCCACTCTTTCACTTTTCTTCATTGGCCCCACCTTCTCTGCACTTACAACTGCCCATTCAGTTTTCTTCCACAAATGTCTCCTGGCCCGTCTCAACCCAAATCTTACTATGCCTACCCAACTCCTATACTTTCCATCCCTGACCATGAAGACCAGTAGTGGTTTAGAGTCGTTGCAAATTTGGTAGTGGGAGAAGTCAGTCATTCTTCTTGTCTTTCCCTTCACTCAGATCACAGCAGGAAAGAATCTAGTTACCAAAAATGTAGTGGCCTTCTGGGTACTGACAGCCTCAACTTCATTGCTTATTACTTATTTTCCACTTTCATTAGCACCTAGAAGTAATTCACTTGAATTTGTTTGAAAGATTCAACACACTGAACTCACCCAGCCTCCTGTATGTAGGTCATACAGTATTGTTATTCGTTTTAGACAAATGCTCATTTTTCAAGTAAGTGATCTACTGCATTTTAAATTTACAGATTCCATCATGAAATGACAGAAGGTTACGAAAAGATATGGGTTCTCAAAAAAGAAGACCCAAAGCCATTTTTAAATTGTATTTGGTTAATTTAAGCTTTATGATGAGCATCTTTGTTTAAAAATTATTTTTTTCTTCTGCAACAGTATATCTATTGAGCTATTAAGCTGTCAGTTCCTTTGGTAGTGGCTGCCAATCGGACTATGTATATGCTTTATGAGACAAAGACAAATAGCTAGTTGTCAGGAAAAAAATGTTGTTTTCTCAAGTACAATTAACTATGATTGGCAGAAATGCTGCTCCTGGTTACCAAAAAACTTTGTAGGATGCTAAAAGAAAAGGAGCTAGATTTATCCATCTTCCATGCTTTCTCCTAGAAATATCCCTACCTACAGCAGGGGAGGGAATATATATACTTGACATACTTTGCATCTTAGAGGAAGGAGTGAATATCATTTGAATTTATAACCAATTTTGAACTGGTAATGCAGCTAACATTGGGCCCAAGAATAACACAAAGTACTTGTATACAATTTGTACACTACTGGGATCTGAGTGTTCACACTTATGAGCTGTTACCTTCGCACAATAAAGTAAGAAAACCTTCCACTGTAGCTTGTCAGGGCATGGGAAAGGAAGAGGAACTTACACATGCATGCATAGTTTCTTCCACATAGCTGTCAACCTCACTCCTTCAATCATCTTTTTCAATTCCCCTGTAGCACTTGGCATTTACCTCATTGTTCACTCACATCTACTGATGCTCTAGAGCTCCAGCCAGCCAGTTGGGCATGTCAAAAACTGGGAGCAACAGATGCTTTGCCCTTGCTGTTCACCTCACTACATTAGCTTTTCACAAGAAAAAAAACAAAGGAATGACAAAGTTATTCCTCCCTTCAGTAGTGAAGGACAGGAGAAGTCAAGGCACCATGGCACTTTGGTTTCTGGAGGGAAGAGAGAATCCCAGAGTTGGGTGGTGGTATGAGGTAGGAATTTCTGTCACTGGGAAGCTATCCTACCCACTTTTCCGGAGGAGCATTATGAGACTGACATTATAGCATTTCCTCTAAAACAAGAGCCAAACAGACTAATTGTGGAGATAAGTGGTTCAGTTTCCAAGTGGTCCAGATCTCAGATTGAGCAGTCCCTTGCATGTGGAAGGGACCTTGGAGATTGAACTACAGGTGAAGACTGAGCAGGTCAGGGCTGATGCTACTCATGAATTTCAGACATTCACCTGGATGTTTTAAATGTGGGTTTTATTTCTTTATTTTTGCTTTCAGTAAATTGATGTTCATCCTCTGTGCTCTGGCTAGGAATTCTAGATATGTAGTCCCAACAAATTTGGAGGGTACCAAATTAAAAGTTGTTATTTTTCAAGTACAATGTTAAAATAATGTCTGCTCTGGATTACCACAAGTATCCAAATCCTAAGAAAATGTTAAAACCGTTTCTAGACATCTGTTACGTACTCAAGTTAAAAATGCCCTTCCTGGGAAACACATTTAGTACACTTATTTATGTATTATTTTATATTTATAGCCGGTTTTACTTCTAATAAGTTCAAGGCAGCAGATATGAATTTTCTTTTCCCATTTATCCTGATAACTCTGTGAAGTAGATTAGGCTGATTCATTGCAATGGGTCTCAGATTACTCAATGAATTTTGTGCCAGAATGAAGTTTGGACCTCTCCAGCTCATCACCCTCAATACCACTCAATTTGATTGTAACTCACTATAAATGTTGGTGTTCACTTTTAAATATTAAAAGTTCCATACAACGTTGGTATACGTAATTAGCAATGGGGCCTGCGCATGAAATCTCAAATAGATTTGGCTTTAAGAAAATATTTGTTATTAACAGTCATGAAGGAAATATGAATGGTCAAATATGTGTAAGTTACACAATGGTAGTTTGATATCCTATGTATAATTTATATTAAAAAAACATTTCTCTCCTTTTCCTTGCTAGTAATGATTTTGAATACCAGTTGACACTGCGTACTGATCTCTACACAAATAAGCACACCCAATGGTACTACTTCCAGGTTACCAACACCCAAGCAGGAATGCCTTACCGTTTCACCATTGTCAACTTCACCAAGCCAACAAGCTTGTACAATCGTGGTATGCGCCCATTATTGTATTCAGAAGCAGAAGCAAAGATCCACAAGGTGGGGTGGCAAAGGACAGGAGATCAGATCAAGTATTACAAAAACAATCTCAGCCATGATGGGCACCAATATTTTTCCTTGACATGGACTTTCCAGTTTCCACATGACAGGGACACTTGCTATTTTGCTCACTGCTATCCATACACTTACAGCAACCTGCAAGACTACTTGTCAGCCATTGCCAGAGACCCAAGGCGGTCCAAGTTCTGCAAAATCCGTATATTATGTCATTCTCTGGCTAGGAATATTGTCTATGTTTTAACTATTACCAACCCTTTGCAAGATTTCAGTAAGGAAAAATGCAAGTCAGCAGTTATTTTGACAGCAAGGGTGCACCCTGGTGAAACAAACAGTTCCTGGATGATGAAGGGCTTTCTGGATTACCTTCTAGGGGATTCAGATAATGCCCAATTGCTCCGAGACACTTTTGTTTTTAAGGTGGTGCCAATGTTGAATCCAGATGGTGTGATTGTGGGCAATTATCGCTGTTCTTTAGCCGGCAAGGACTTGAATCGCAATTATAAATCAGATCTTAAGGAATCTTTCCCTTCTATCTGGTATACCCGCAGCATGATCAAAAGGTAAAAAGGTAACACAATCGCTCCTATCTGTTTAATATACTTATTCTGTGTTCAATATTAGTTCATTTTTAATGAATGCATGAGTTATCCAAGCTGTTCCACTTTATTTATTTTTAGTTCAGACATTACTAATTTTTGTATACTTTAATTTTTGTTGTTACACTGTTATTTTTTGTAACTGATATATGGAATGAAAAGACCAATTTTTAGAGAAGAAAAAAGAGGAACAGGTACTGATGAAGCTCATATACTGTATATGATTTTTTAAAAAATTAGGCTGCATATAATGATGAAGCTCACATATATGATTTAATTTTTAAAAAATTAAGCTGCCATGGAGAGAGCATTTTAATCCCATATATTTAGGATCTCCCAAAATGAAGGGAGATGTGACAAGGAGAAGAAACTGAACCTCCAGTGTACTCAGTGAAAAAGCTTCTATTCAGACTGGATCAGTATTAGTGACTGTCACGCCCTCATATAATGTACGATAACTTAAAATGTAAACTATCATGAAATGATACCCACAATTCCTCACATAACCCAAAAACCCAACCAGGGTATCTAAGTTTCAGTAACCAAAGCTGCTCATATGTGATTTTGTCTCTTGTAACAGAATAATGGAAGAGCGAAATGTTCTTCTATACTGTGACCTTCATGGTCATAGCAGGAAAGAAAATGTCTTCATGTATGGCTGTGAAAAAAAAGAACAAGATGAAAGGGCATGCTTACTCCAGCGCATTTTTCCTTTCATTATGAGCAAAAATTGTCCAGATAAAGTAAGCCAACTTTTAATATCATATCTCAGATAGTTAATGAGAACTGGAGTCCAGTTGCATGTTAACTTAATGTTGTAATGGTCCAAAAATCATAATCCGTCTGTCCTTCAATCTAATAAATATTTTAAAAGTATATGTCAGATATATTGTGATAATGATTAATTCTATTAGGATATGAGTGCACAACCTTTTTCTGGTTTGGGGTAATTCTTAGCCTTTGGGTGTACTGTACTGGGCGGTTGCATAGAAAAAGTAGGACGAGGAGAAAAATGTATTTAAACTTTAATTAAGCACAATATAGTCCTGGTACTTAATAACTTTTTCTTGTAGCAGCAACTTTTGAACAATGTAGATGGGCTGTGCCCAAGCCTTTGAGCTGGACTTTAGGCTGTTCACCTCTATACTAACAACAGCTTCAAAGATCTACTTCTAGGAATTTGCACAGGTTTTTGCAAATGCAGTGGGATTTTAGTTCATAGGAAACAATAACCACTGCAACTGTACACTATTTTCTGCCATATCCTGAAAGCACTTTATTGTGGATGTGCTGCTATTCACATTATTGTTTATGCTTTACAGTCAGCCAGTTCTTTCTATAGTCAGCAGAGTGTCGCATCATATATTTCTCTTTTTCCTTCCAGAAATGATGTGAACTATGCAAAGGAACCACATCAATTGATAGCTTCATATTTTAGCTTGCATATTGAGGAGACAGCATTATCTGAGGAGGTTGTGTTAAATCATGGCTGCATATCTGCTCTGTAATGAGTAATCTGTCTCTTTAACAGGAATTGCAAAACTTTATTTCATTTCTTTTCCCATTCAGTTCTCATTCCAAGATTGCAGTTTTAAAATGCAGAAAGGCAAAGAAGGAACAGGTCGAGTAGTTATGTGGAAGATGGGCATCAGCAACAGCTATACCTTGGAAGTAACCTTCTGTGGCTCTAAATTGGGTAAGACAAGTAATATTACTCCAGAATTAATCATTAATGCATTCAGTAACATCTCCTGCATTGTAGCACTTTCAGATTATTACTAATCCTTCAAGGACAGTTTCTGTATTCAGTACAGTTTGGAAGCATGAAATAATAACGCTCCTTTCCAAATTCAAGCATCATCAGTGATTTATAAAATGTATAAGAATATTTTCATATAATTTTTATTTGATCAATTTGTGGAATAGTATTCAGAATTCAGTTTTCTTATATTCTCTAGAGCACATAAAATTATTGCTGGCAGTTATTTTTTCCAGTGAGGCTTCCCTTTTGTATTATAGGCAATAATCATGCTACCCACTTCAGTACAAAAGATTTGGAGTCCATAGGATACAATTTCTGTGATTCATTATTGGACTTGTGTAACGAAAAGAAGAGCAAGGTAATACAGAGGAACAGTACTTTCAGACAGAATTCTATGATAATAGGCGCTGACTTTCATTTTTAACACTGTGATCTCTCCTAGTACAACGAATGCCTGAAGGAATTGGAGGAACTAGTAAAACAGGATGATCCAGCTGCCTCTGTCAATGATACAGGGGACAGAGGAGATTCTAGGTAAATGGATTGGTCCAAAAATATTTCTAGTCAATATTGAAAAGAGAAATCATTAGCTATAGTATGTTTTCCAGTTCTGTTATCTCTTAAGGCAATTTATTTATTATGTAGTTGAATATCTTAGTATCTTACCATTCACAATCCTGTAAATTAAAACAGCATAATTGTTTTCTTTTGCAGTTCGGATAGTTCAGACTCTAATGAGTTTGCTGATAAAATAGAAACCCAGGTATGGTAAAAATTCTCATTCGACCCTTTATGTAATTTTTATACTTGAAATGTATTTTCTTTGCATTTATTTATTTATTTTATTTAAAAGATTATTATGGCCGCCTATCTTAAACAACTCTGGGCAGCTCATACCAGCAATAAAACCAGTAACTATAAAACATAACCATGAAACAATAAAAAGATCAAACAAAAACCAAAACCCTGTGCCTTTATCATCCCCTTACGATGTCCCGCAGCAAGCTCCAATTACCTTCATTCCATTCTTTCTATTCTATTTTGTTCTATCCCAGCACCTTGGTTAAAAAAAAAAGTCTTGATGGCCTTCTGAAAGGCTAAAAGGGTGGCGGCCTGCTGAATCACCAGGGGGAGGGTGTTCCATAAGGTAGGGGCAGCCATGGAAAAAAATTAATATACAGATAAAATGTGTTGATAAAGAGCTTTAGTTGTGGAGTCCTTGGGGTTCTCTGGTATGTCAAAACAGTATGATTTCCCCTCATTTTATACTTTAGAATCAAATGTCAAAGTAAAGTATATGAGACAAAGTATGTGCTAAAACTCATTTCAAACCTTTATATACTTGCTGCATTCCCTAGGATTCAAGCTGAAGGACATCAGTGATTTGAGCAAGCCTGTTCAGTTATTAGCTACTGGCATAACATCAGAGAAAACTCTTCTATGTTATTATGACTTTGTTTTTCAAAATAATGTAAGGAAAACCAGTACTTAAAAAAATTAACATGATTTAAATAATTTGACAGAATATTTTATGCTTAGCCAGATCTGACACTGATTCCATAAGCCAGAGGATGCAATGTTGCCAGG